CCGGGGTGAGAATAAAACCCCTACGATTGACCTCTCACCCCGGGTGAGACTTGCCAGCGTTGGCTATTCTCACCCAGTGAAACAAGACCTGTTTTTCCTAATTTCGGAATACTTTCTATCGGTGTGGATGATCAAATTGACAAAAGCAAAGAAAAAAATGACGTTATAGCACAAAAGTAAGCTAATTTGATCGTCGACAAAGATGCCATGGCTCTTTCACTTTTCGAATCGAGCCGAACTACGCGGGTCGCCATTTTGTTTTGCCCGGAAGTTCTCGCAAGATCTACTCCTCCCCCTTCTCTCTCTCTCTGTCGGCAATTTATTAAATCTGCAACCTGCAACTAGATTACAACTAGATCTAGATCTAGATTCGAGACTTTAGTAAAGGCAGTCCAGGGGAAAGCATCAATTGAATTCATGTGGTGCAGATGAGTAAAGAGAGACCAAAACAATCTCTCTATCATTGCACATCTTTTCGCCTAATACATGTTCCGGTAGATTTAACTACCTATACGTTTGGAAGTTTGACCCGTGTCAAAGGGATGTGGCTGACGAATCGGGAGGTGGCTGGGGGTTGACGAAAGGGAAAAGCGCGAAGGCGGTGGTATGAATGTGGCAGAGTGGGCAGTGATACGCAGGTATCCAGTGTGTAGGCCTAGTGTGCTGTATTATGACTGGGCGTCTAAATTAAGTTTTCGTTTCCCATTCCACCACAAAACAAAATAAACACACAAACAAAGCTACGACTTACGAACAAGGGCATATACCCAGGAAATTTTCTATATATGTAAATCTCTGGATTATGTTTACCTCGCACTTAAGCACGCCTCGGCATTAAGTAGGCCCTATGCGTTATGCTTTCTCCCGATGACTGTGCTTAAATCGGGCATCGACTGTATTTCTATTTTTCTGACAGGAAATTGTGTTCTTGAAAGTTCTTCTAAAACTGGATTGGCCTAGACAGGCAGAACTCAAGCCAGACTCCTAAATTATCAAAACTGTGTCCATGACTTTAACTTTAATCATATATATACATGATTAAATTCAAAATGAAAAATCTTTCACAGCCCCACTGCGGTCTCAACAAGATAACAGCCATAGGTCCCAAATACAGTTGAACCTGTGTAAGACGGCCACCCATTGTCAAGGAGAAAAGCGACCGTATAAGACAGGGGGCCGTCTTAGGCAGGACTGATCAAGATTAAGAAAACAAACCATTCCTTTCTGAGAAAACAAACTCTTCCTTTCTGAGGTCCACACCGAAGGCAGTTGTATTGTTGTTGTTGTTTTCGCTGGGTTTTCTTTTCTTTTATTGCTGCTTTTGCGCACGGGTGGCAACAAAACGAAATGTGTCAGATAAGGAGGACCAAGTGCTGTGGTAAAACAAACACACGTACTACCACTCGGAGAACAAGCGGCGCTTCTGTCAAAAGTTCATGCTGACGTCCATTTTTACTTTATTACAGACTGGGTAAACAGTGACCACTCATCTCACTGGCGATTTGTGTATGGGTTCTGGGCGGGGTTTATTATGGGTTATGAGGGATCACACGCTTCCCTCCCCAGTAGCTGAAATTTAATTTTGTTACCTATTGGTCAACAGTGGGAGGGGCCTACGCAACATGATCAGTTGGAGGGACTACCTAACAACGCCAGGTTTTTAGATTATGACAGCTCGCCCACAACGCCAGGGGCCAATGCTTGATTTATGACAAAGCATAATGGAGTCGCTAAGGTGGCCGTCTAAGACAGGTGTTATTGCTTTGTGTGATAGGGGTTGTGTGTTGAAATATGGTGGCCGCGACGGACAGGTGCCCATTTTACACAGTTAAACTATATAGAAAAAACGTAAGGGGGGAAATGGAAAGTGGCCGTTTGTACAGGTTGCTGTCTTATAGACATGGCCGTCAGGGCAGGTTCGACTGTATTTCTACATATATCTGTAGAGGACCTTCTATTCCTTCTGGTAACTTCAGATCAGCTTCCATAAAAAATTCAATAAGGTGTGGAAATTTGTTCAGACTTTTTGTTCACTCAATACACATGCAAATCTCAAACTGAGTCCAACCACTTGCCAAAGATCTAGATCCAGATGTAGGTCCCAGTTACAGCACTTGACATAAAACTGTTATAACTGTTTGCATTTTTCCTGTTTGAACTTTGTGTTTACCATTCAGAAGTAAATTTGCTACATTATTTATTTTTAAAGCGAATCTTACATTCAACTTGATAGGTACCAAGTCTGAAAGAAATTTCAAGTTGAAAACTTGAAGGGTTGCAGCAAAATTAGTCTAACATACTCATGGACTATAAAGCTGCAAAATTGTCCCTTAATTACATTATAATTTGGAGAAAATTTAGACCACATTCTCTTTACCAGAAGGAATTCATTTCCCCTAACTGCAGAGATTAATACCAAAAAATAAATCTGCCAATGTGGGGCTATTTTAGCTTTTCATTTTCAGAAACTTAGGCAACATTTTGAAGAAGGAAAACGCAATGACTTCTTCTAACAATTCAAAACAGTTTTTAATCATTATTGGCACCATTACACTGAGTACGGTGTCCCATAAAGTTGCAGTAGTGTACCATGACCTGTGGAACAGTCTAAAAAACATCAGTCATCAGCACATGTACGATTCATTCGTAACATCCAGAATAGACGACTGTCAAAAATATCTTCCATTCCTAATAAAGGAAAGGCAGTAGAAGCAAAGAATTCAGTGCTTCGAGCACACTGAAACATCTGCAACATCAGCCGCAAGGCTATCTCAGTAGTGTGAAAACACAACTACTTCAAAGTGCCACTGCCTATGAGGCATTAGAATTAGACACACGATACATCTTTGTTGTACACAAGCACACACACATATACAGATCATTTTCACCTTTTCTCACTACATGTGGGCATACAAGTAGATCTACATATTCTCCTAACAAGGTACTCCTATATAATCAAAGGACACAGAAAAACACACACACCACAAGCACTTGAAGTAACTACAAACCCACCTAAATAAAGATCATAATTAAGATTTTAATGCATCGGGCAGATAGACGTCCACCATCACAACTAAATCTACTGTACAGATGTCAGATTTTTTCACATATTAGACGGTCTTTTCCTCAGTTCTTCAGACATCAGCAGAAACATTACACTACTGATGAGAGGGGAAAACTAAAACTTCAGTCTCGAACCCACACCATATAGCAGTCTCAGCAGCAGCAATGCCCTCAACACACACCACACACCCATCTCAAATTACATGTTCCACCGAGACGTAGTCTGTGGAGCCAGAGTTATCTAGGAGTGAAGATGCCACACTCTTCAGTTCCTAGCAGCTTGTTGTGCCTCGTATGCATCCATCCTACGTTCCAACTCCGGGCGGAAGTGACGAATGAGTCCCTGGGGAGATGAAACGAGCAACTCATCAAAATTACTTTACGTTCTATCTAAAAATAAAACGTCACACAAAGTGAGACAAAATACTGGTTTACAACAAGAATAACACAAGTCAATGCAAGTCACCCATCTCAGCAAAGCAAAAATGCATGTTCAATTTGAGACAAATACGTTCAATTTGAGACAAAGACAGTCTCCATGTGTAATTTAAAAAATCAATGTTCATTTTATTTGGGGTAAGTGGTCTACTGTTCGGTCTCTCAAATGTAAGGTTTTAGATTCATATCCTGTCAGGAGCTCCACATTGTGTCCTTGTGACAGGGGAACTTAATACAAATTTTCCTCACTTCAGTCAGATGGGAATGGGTACCAAGCTATAAATAGCAAAATATCTTGTCAGATTGTTAGTGTTTTCAAAGCATATAACCCACAGCTAGCACTGTGTGCTTCCTAGGATGCAGAAAATATTTCCAAGTCATATTCTAGGGTCTGCTGGGGTAATACCTTGGTACCATCTTCACGCTTCAAACAAACTACCCATGACCATGATGGGGAACTGTCAGTACTTTCCGATAGTGATGTAGGAGGTGATGAAGTTAGACCTGAGTCGGACAGCAGGGACAGCGATGAGATTGAAGATTCGCAAAGAGGGGCATGTGTGCAGCGTTTTTTTCTCTTTTTTTCATTGTGAGTGATTTGACCAAAAGTGCGACAACTTTGTATATACTTGACCATTGTGCATGAAACTTGGCCCAGTTAGAGACAATTGGATATACTTCAGTATGAGTAAGTCATGAAATGATTGGATTTAGCAGCTATACACTGTGAGAAATGTAAGTTGGAAATATTTTTAAAATTTTATATATTTTTTTCACCTTGTGTTCACTTACCTCCCATGTTTGTTTGGATTTATGATTTTTTTCTTTTTTTTTTTAATTAGATTAAAAATATTTTACATTCAATTACCTTCATTTTGGTATATAATATGTCTGACTTCCAGATGGAATTATGCCCATCAGACACAAAAGAAGAACAGGGGTACTTCTGAAATTCTAAGACTAAGAAATGCCTTGGTCACAGCGCGGAAAACGCCTTGGTAGTCAAAGAGTTAAGAGTGAGATTGTTAAAAATACCATGCTCTACGACTTTTTCAAAATCCAACCAGGGACTTGTACATGTACAGATATAATGCAAGATCACGTAACAACGAACAAAGTTCCATTGAGTGGAACCGGTTTTGGTGAAGTGTATATAATAATAATACAGTAGTCTCCGCCTAAGATCCCGGTTCTCGGGAGCAAGGAAATGCGGGATCTTAGGCGAACCGGGATCTTAACCGACGAACTCAGGGAAGAATCTATGGTGACCCATGATAAGGCTCACAATCGATAAAATGGTCTTCCTCTACTCTAACATGAACTGACGTGACCGCTTGGTGGGTTTATGACGTATGGCGAGCAAAGAGTGGTTAACCTTGATGGCCTATGACAGTGCATAGTGGGATGAGGTGCGCCATTTTCACTTATTATCCTATCATGAGTCTCAAGATCTACGCTTATCCAGTTGCCCCTCCCCCTTACCTGTCGAAAATTTATAGCTTTCCATCTCTAACCGAGC